GAGGAGGGGCTGCGGGAGATGAACAAGAAGCTGCAGAACCTCCTGGAGGAGCAGCTGACCAAGAACCTGCACCTGGCACAGGTGAGGGGGCGGGGCCCGAAGGGGCGGGGCCCGAAGGGGCGGGGCTTGTGAGAAAGGGGCGTGGCTTGTGAGAAAGGGGTGCGGTTTGTGAGAAAGAGGCGTGGCTTGTGAGAAAGGGGCGTGGTTTGTGAGAAAGGGGCGTGGCTTGTGAGAAGGGCGTGGCTTGTGAGGAAAGAGGCATGGCTTGTGAGAAAGGGGCGTGGTTTGTGAGAAAGGGGTGCGGTTTGTGAGAAAGGGGCGTGGTTTGTGAGAAGGGGCGTGGCTTGTGAGAAAGGGGCGTGGCTTGTGAGAAAGGGGCGTGGCTTGTGAGAAAGGGGCGTGGCTCCCAAACCGCCTGTCGTTTGTGGAGATGGGCGTGGTCTGTTGAAAGGGGTGTGGCTTAACGGGGTGTGGCTCATCGGGGGGCGTGGTTTAAATTTCGGGGTGTGGCATAAGCGATGACATCACCGAGTTTACCGACGTGAAAGGGCGGGGCTTAAAGTGGAGGCGGGGCTTTCGGCGGTGGGCGTGGCCAGGACAGGGCGTGGCCGCTCTGGGGGCGTGGCCTCGCGCAGTGGGCGTGGCCTGTTCCCATCCTCGTTCCCCTTTTCCAGGACCTGGAGTCGCTGTCCCAGGAGCTGGCGCAGCTCAGGAAGGAACAGGCGACCCCCTCGGGACCCCCCTGAGGGGCGGGGCCTCGCCTGGTGGGCGGGGCCTCGCCCCCGCAGGCTCCGCCCCCCGGCCGGGGCGCTGCTGCGGGGGAGGCGTTGCCCCTTTAAGGCCGTGCTGGGCCCCGCCGGCATTGCCCCTTTAAGGCGGGACGGTTCTGTACATGGCGTTGCCCCTTTAAGAGTGGGGTGGGGGTGTTTCCCGGGTGGGCGTTGCCCCTTTAAGAGCTGGGTCGTTGCCCCTTTAAGAGCTGGGTCGGTCCCTGCCGCGGCGTTGCCGCTTTAAGGAGGAGGTGGTCCCCACTGTGGCATTGCCCGTTTAAGGGGGGTCCCGCATGCGCCCCCCCCTCTCCCCCCCAATAAACCCGATGTGAATCGCTGCCTCTGACGTCATTTTGCTGCCTTGGGAAAGGGCGGGAGTGCTCGGTGACGTCATTAAAGGGCCTCCCTGCGGAGCCCGCCCCGTGACGTCACTTCCGCGCGCTGCCCCGGATGTTGTTGCCGCGGCCGCGGCCGCAGGACGGGCACGGGCGCGCCGCGGCTCCGGATCCCCC